ACCAAACACATACTCTAAATAGTTGTATGGTCTTTTGAGGTGCAGTGTGGATTTGATAATTTTTATTCAAAATTTGTTTCCTTCAGAATCGTCATTGGATTTAACGTTGAATCTAATGTGATCGTGGGCGAAGGTCAGGATGACTATGATGCAGCCTAGATGCAGAGCAAAAAATGATTGGTCTTGTGGAGACTCTCATTGAGGGTGGCCAGTTGGACCTGAGCTCTAGAGTAGATGATTTCACTGCTGTACTGGATGAGAGCTCTTTCAACTATGAATTAGTGGAATTGGTGTGCACCCCCTCCCTATACAGTTAACAACGACATCTATCGCTGTGGTAAGATGTCATGTAACGAATGTATGTGCAAAACGTAAAAAAAAATACAACTTCATAACCAAGTTAACATTACTCTTTAGTCCTAGAAAGGCAGAATATTTTTTTTAAATTTTGGCCTCAGGTGGAAGTAAGAATGGGGCTCTCCTTCTTCCTAGGATCGTGGCCATATACATGCATGTGATGTGTAGATGGGGCTTTGCATTAGGAATATCTATTACTGACACGGTCTTGAAATTATCACAAATTATTATACACATGTTGACCTTTTTGCATTGTGTACAATACATACAGGTATAGAGAATTTTTATTTTGGCTGCCCATTTCATGGTTTTTATTTTGCGCAGTACTTGTTGGCTAAAGTTTCATAAATTTTGCATATCAATAGATAGCATACAAATAATGATGCATATGAGTCCAAAATTGTGAATATTTTTCATGAGTTGAAAGATTAACGTTCTATTCACTCGGCTAACGCCTCGTTGAATAATTAACGTTAATCTTTCAACGAATGAAATATTCCCGCTATTGAACGAATATAAAACATTCATTATTTGTTTTATACAACATCGAAGTAGATAATAGAACATTAATCTTTCAACAAATTATGCTGGGCTCCTTATATTAAAGTTGGAGTCGGGCCTTCTCGATTACCTTCAAATTGCCTTCGAGCTTCATGTCAGATGCGCGCAGCTAATATAACAATGGGATACGTGCAGGGCAGAGAGGTACACAGTCTGCATATAACCAAAAATGCATGCTTGTTGAATAGTACTACGTCGAATAGTGCATGCCTGTGCAATAGTGTATCTGTTGAATATCATGCGACCACAATCCTCCAATCAAATGACAAGGATCTACTAAGTGTTGTATAATATATGTTAATTAAAGCTACATGCATGCACAAAGTCATGGAAGCTTGCAGTGCAAAATAACAACCTCAATTATAATATGGCACACATTGAGGGAGGTGGATTTTCTTTCCATCCCCCAGTACGCTTAGGGTAAACCTCTGGTTCAGTAACATCATGTATACATGCATGTAATAATTTCATACCCTTAGGTTTAAGTCTCTCGCCATGGCTATATATAGGCAATCATCACATGCCCATTCTCAAATACAGTGCATGTACATTTGCAGTTAACTAAATACACCTTCCATATCATGGCTTGACCATGCAATTGCATATTATATATGCATATTGTACGAAAACGTTTTAAGAACTGAAAAAAACAAGCGTACCGGGAAAAACCACTTCTGGAGATGGATACGCTAAATGTTCCATTAGAGTAAGCATCATGATCGGATTATGGTGGGTTTCTAAAGCAGCATACACGTGATATACTTACGTTTCTATTATTTACTCTTTTAAACTCTCCTGTGGATCCAGAAGTTGTAAATCAACAGAGTAGGGAAAAAACAAGGTTTCCATTTTTTTTAAAATTTAACCAAAATACATGTGCATTTGATTAGAAAATAGATATTTTTTTTGGCTAATCACTATACCGGTACCTGTATTTAGTATACTGTAATCTTTCTTTGTAATATGCCTACTCCTAAAATCCATATTTATTCTCTGTTCAATTATGTAGTACCATGTGGAAGTGGCTTTTACTATGGCAATGAAACTCAGGAATGTATCCAGTGTGAAGTAGGGACATATCAAGACACACATGGAGAGTTCACATGTCATCAGTGCCCCGAAGGACAATCTACTATTGCAGTCGGATCCAAGAATGTGAGCCAGTGCATAGGTACGAACATTCACTGTAATTGTAAATGCTCATTTTAATGGAAAATATTCATGGAATACGCAGCAGAGATTACCTATATTATTTTGAAAGGGATCAGTGGAATATTTGGGTCTTTTACTGACACATTTGTTTTCAAATGGATACACACAGATTTTTGAAATTCTAAAAATATGTTCTACTTGAGGAGGAAAAAAAACAAACTACATTATTATAAAGTAAAGTCTCTTGCTATTTTAAGGAAGACCAGCATCCATTGACCAAAACTATACATAGGCTTCAAGGAAGCTTCAAGGAAATACACTGTCATATTGGTGGAATAATTATTTTTACTCCAATCTATGAAATGATTTTGACAATGATTTATTCCTAATAGATCTAGATAATAGTATATACTTCTCAGATTTTATTGAATGATAATTTGCAAGTGTTGTGTTTGCGTGACTGCTAAAGCATGTGTGTGCTACTATGCTAATCAACTAGGGGATCTACGTCCTTCATAACTGGCATTAATGAGGTTTAATGCTTCACAAAGGGCCTTAATTAGCTGATCGACACGGTTTTGATCGTTGGGCCTCACAGTAAAGAGGCCATTGCATAGCCACTGAATCATGACTGGACGCAGCAGGGGGCTAGGGTACGCGGCCGCCCCTATAAATACAAATAAATGAAGAAATGCAAAATTATCAAAATTCATTGCATTTTCCCCCGGTCCCCAACAGGAAAAATTGCTTTGCAGGGCCATGCATTATGGTTCAAGGCATGGCCACAAAGAAGATTTTTTTATGTTGGGGATCGGGGAAAATGCAATGAGTTTTTGATAATTTATTGCATTTTCTTCTTTTTTTTGCGTTTGTGAGGGGCGGCCGTGTACCCTAGCCCCGCTGCGTACAGTCATGATTCAGTGGCTATGCAATAGCCTCGTTACAGTGAGGCCCCAGGATCAAAACCGTGTTGATATGCTATATTAGAGCCCTTTTGTGAGGCATTAATCCTCATTTCTGTCAGTTATAACTTATGGACGTAGGTCCCCTAGTTGATTAGCATAGTAGCATACACATGCTTTAGCAGTCATGAAAAACAAACACTCACCAAATCATTATTCAATCAATCTCTGAAGGTTTTCTATCATCTAGATTATTAGGAATAAATCATTGTCAAAATTATTCCATAAATTGAGGTAAAAATAATTATGATAATCTGGAAATTATGACCAACAATGTAAGTCAAAAGATTTTCAACCAAACGTTTGTTTTAAATCTACATGTATCAGCATTGTTAAATAGGAAAATACATTCAAATATTTTTGGTTTTTCTTTAGACAAGTGTACACTTTTAGGGAGAGGAGTTGCTTGGTTTAATCAAGAAAGTCTGGTGCTTAGTTTTTGTCCAGAACCCATTTATTGCAATACACATTTTGTCATTTCATCCTGTCACATCAAGACATCTGCCAACCTGGTTATAGTTCGTTCACCGGTCTAGCACCATGCAACCATTGCCCGATAGGAAGCTATCAAGAGGAATTCTTTGCTACAGAATGTACCAGCTGTCCTGTTGGCATGACAACACTAAACAAAGGCTCTACTTCATCTCTTGAATGTATTGGTAAGTACATGTATATTTGGCTTAGAGCCATTTGCTTTTTTAAAATAAATTAAACGCTGCCTTGAATTTGTAAAATTTCTGAAATATATTTCTAGATTATCTTACGTCTGTATGTAATATGCATTTTGTGATTTTATCAGTTGTTTTCCTTTCAATTATCTGTGCAAGAAACATATTTTGTTACCTTACCATGTGTTTTGGAAGAACTGGTATTGGTATTGGCTTTTAGTCTGATGACAACACAGCGATTGTTTCAGGCTCTAATTTGTCACCGATGGATAATTCTAAACCAGGGGTTTCATTGGATTTTTGCCCGGCCCCCCCCTACTCCGGGGTCGGAATGACCGCATGCGTGTTACCAAAATGTCCGGTAAAGGGGTACTTTTCACGCACCAAAGTCCGGCTCGTACATACACAAAATTGACTTTACCGGTACACACCGGACTTAGGGGGTGTTTTCAAAAGGAGTGGGGGGGGGGGGCCGGGTTTTTTTGTTGCCTGTGTAGCTGGAGCAACATATGTACAGGCAGGGGTGGCCCTACAGGGAAGCAGGGGGGGAGGATGTGGCGACTGCCCCCCTATGATTTTTCAAGTGATCAACAACAAAAAAAGAGGAGAAAAAAAAGAAGAAAGAGTATGGGGAAAGAGAGGGCTGGTCATTCTAAATACCCCTATTAAGTAGAAATGCGTCAACGAGACGTCTTCTTTTTTTTTATTTTTTTAAAATTTTTTTATTAACATTTATTTCCTTCTCAACAGCACAATATAAAACACAATGTATATATACATGATATATGTAACAATTATTTCAACATAGAGTATACAGTAATTAATTCAGATACGGAAGGAGGCGAAAACCCGGCGAAATATCCCTCCTTGCATCACCTCCAACCCCTGCTTTGCATGCTCACTATGACAATTAAACCTATTTCTAGCCAGTAAGTTCCTTCATTTTACAAATGTGAACATAATTGTAATTAGACTCGATGAAATTACTATCAAAAGTTGTCTTATTTCTCTTAAAATTTGATGAAACTTTAAAGTTTTCTGCTTGGCACAGGAGGGGTGAAACTCTCACCTTCATACACCCACCCACTACCCTGCTTTGTGTGCTTGCTATTGGCCTAATGGCTTTATTTCTCAAACTCAAGATCCTGGATCAAACCATGGAGCCTGCATCGAATTAGAGTCGATGAAGTTGTACTATAAGACATCTTCTTTCTCTCAAAATTTGATGAAATGCCAAAGCTTCTGTGCTTTGCGCAGGAGAAGGAAGCTCTATCAATTTCCCCCTGCACCCATGCTCACTTATCATTATGGCTCACATTTATTTTCTTGCAATCAAGTATCTTCATCATACAGAAGCCGGCATCGAATTAAAGACCAAATTACTGCGATATGTCTTCCTCCTCTCAAAATATTGCTAAATGAACGTCACAGTTTCTGCGCTTTGCCTGGAGGGGGGGGGAGGAAACTCCCTCCTCCCTGCACGCACCCACCTCCTCCCCTGCTTTACCTGCTCAATATGGCTAACATATTATTTCACACAATTATTTAAGTTTCTACATCATAAAAATCCGGTATTAAATTAGAGTCGAAAGTATACCATGAGACGTCATATTTCTCTCTAAATTTGATGAAACTGCAAAGCTTCCGTGCTTCACGAGGGAGTAGGAAGCTCTATCTATTCTCTTTGCACTGACTCCTCCCCCACTTAATGTGTTCATTAGAGCTATTGATTATTTCCCGCAATCATTCAGTTCCTTCGTCATACAGAACCGGCATCGAATTAGAGTCGGTAGTACCATGAGACGTTTTAGTTTCTATCAAAATTTGCTGAAATGTCAAAGCCTCCCTGCACCCGCCCTTAGGGTGGACACTACCCCCCTGAAATGAAATGTCTATATACACAGGTGTCTTCCCCCCCCCCCCAAACAAAAATAACTTTCTGCTATCATTCTTCATTTATTATTTCTAATGTAATTCTTATCAAGTACCTCACTAAATAGCTGCACATGCAGGTATTTTCTGGCAAATTTGCCATTCATGATAACCTACCTTAGAAGAGAACTTTTGTGGACTTATTTCCTTCACACTCCTATCATTATTCCTAAATATTGTTAGGTGAATTTATTTTCAGTTGATTAAATACATTCTGTCTGTACACAAGTTATCCATTTTAATAGGTGATTGGTAGTCTTTAAAGGTAAAGACCAGTATTGGTAACGCCCCAATTTCAAAAAATGAAATGGAAGCTCTCATTACCAATCATGTGAAAGAATATATTTTGACTAATACATGATGATAAAAAATTTGCCGGGAAACCGCCTACTAATTCATATATTTGGTAAATTTGTTTCTCTCATGGTCCTGTGAGAGATATAGGGTAGTCCCATATACATCTTTCTGTGTATAGTGCTTGTAACTTTACGAAGAATGGGCCAAATTTCTTATCATTTTGATGATTCCAGAACCTTGCAGATGCTAGATGCCAGATGATCAACCTTTTCTGATCGATTCCACAACGTTTCTTTCACAATTCAATCGCATGACCATAACTGGTCTTTACCTTTAAGGCTCTCAGATATTTGAAGTGCAGGCTCGACCATTCATTTCAAGAAGATCAATGTTTAATTAAACATCCTCTTTATTTGTGCATCAATGTACCGGTAACAATCCAATCTAGCCAAATACAAGGTTATTTTGTGTGATCCTTTTTGTTTACATTGTGCAGAGTTTTGTGCAGCTGGAGAGTACTCTTCATCAGGCTTTGGCCCTTGTACGGCATGTCCGCTTGGTACTTATCAGAGTGGAACTCAGCGAAGTACATGTCATCAATGCCCCGGTGAAACTACAACAATGCAGATAGGTTCTACTGATGCATCCATGTGTGTTGGTAAGGATTGCCTGAAAACATCTTCTAAGTAATGAATGCATATTGAATGTTAAAGGGACATTTTCACAAGAGGGAAGGTCCCCTTGGCATAAGATTATCCAAACACCAACTTGAGTGACCTCAATCTAATGGATCCTCAGTCACCTGCAGTGCACGTACATGTTGTGGTATTATGATAAGGCCTAAAATAAAAACTTGTTGTATTGCTCTTAGCAACCGACCCAAAAATCTGAAAATCTACGGTCGACATTTTAACGTTTTTTTTTTTTAAACCGTTTTTTAGATTTTTTAAAATTAATAAATACAAAAATATGTATTTTGTTTGTTTAAATGAGATTTAAAGGCCCCGTGTACGTGTTTATACCATCTGCACCAGCTAGAAACCAGGGAGTCGTGTACAGGAAGACTCATTTCTAATTTATACATATCGGCCAAAAGAGGGCGGAGAAAAAAATTCAACACTGAAAAATATCGGCCCAAAGAGGGCGACAAAAAGAAAAAGTTACAAAAATAAAAAAACTTCTCCGACTAACCGACCCATGTTTTGGCACCTTAAGGGCAATACAACAAGTTTTTATTTTAGGACTAATAGTAATACACCCCTCTATCTGGCTTTTGCATTTTTAAATTTTTTAAATATTTTTTTTAAACTTGAAAATTAGCGTATTTGCTTGGAAAGTTACTTTTTGTGTAATTACCCATGCATGCCTTCTATATTCATCGTAATCTGAGTAAATGGCAGGTTAATGTAAAGTGAGGTTTTTCTTAGTTTTATTGTATCCCCCGGCAGTATGCCGGTCAGGTACTTTGGATTCAGAGGCGTTACGCCGCCGCCACGTCATATTCTTGTGTGCGCTCTAACTGCCAGATTCCTTGATGGATTTCTTTCAAATTTTGTATGGAGGTGTATCTTTGTATAATCTACACACCTAAAACTTTTGGCGATGCTGCCCCCAGCATTCCGTCTTCTATAGGGTAAAAGGCCATATTTTTTTGGATGGTTTGTGTGCGCTCTATAGGCCACATTTTTGAAGGAATTTTGTTCAAATTTTAAACGAAGGTGTATCTTGGTATAATCTACAAGCCTATAGATTTTGGTGATGCTGCCTCCAGTGTTCTATCTTCTATAGGGTCAAAGGTCATATCTTGATGGATGTCTTATGTGCACTCTACCGTGCACATAAAAAAATTGCGCTTTGTTGTGAGTAACAAACTGAAACCTAGCCACTCTGTGTAAAGATGGCTCTGAGTACCCCATTTTTAAAGCTCGTTCAGACACCCCCCTCCCCCTGTGGTTATTTGTTTTTTTACATTTGAAAAGAATGACAATTGACAGTGCAAACCAAATGAGACGCGTATTCACTGAAATCTGTGTTATTAAAGACCAGAAGGTAAAGCGTATGGAAAATCGACTTGCGCAAAAGTATTAAGGTAAGAGAATGAATTGAATGTATCTGTATCAAATGAGATGCATTGCATATTCTTTTTGCAGATTAAGCAAAGTCACACACACACACGCACAATTGTTCTTTGATATTTGATATGCAGAGCTGCCAACCTTTGGAAGTACAAATTAGTACTCAGCACCTCCAAAATTAGTATTTTACCATCAAAATTAGTATTTTTCAACCGGCCTTCCTTTCACCTATTAAAAACCTATTGATGTCGTAACGCAGTGCAAATGCATACCGTAAAGACCATATTTTTGCTGTAATTAGTTTTCTTAAAATATATTCAATTGTACATGTTCATCTATATACCTTGTTTTAACTGCAAACTCAGTTCTTTTTAGTTACAAGCCCTTGCTTCAGCCACAAAATTACCTTGAAGATTCACACACAAGTGACTATAAGCCACTCCATATAAAATGATGCACCCAATTTACAATATGGCTCTTGTAAAAATCTGCAATATTGTAGTACAGCCCATAGTCAACATACATATATAACAAATACAGAAGTCTCAATAGAAGTTGCAGAAGGTGCCAACAGTCCCATATAGTGCTTGGGTGGTATCAAGTTCCCATTTATAGCATCAATAAAAAAAAATCCAAGTGAATTGTTCATTTCTGCTCAAGCGGAAGCAGCGCAGATGGGAGATAGCTTCAACGATTCCTCAATCAACCCACTCCCGAAACCGCTGGCTGCGGCAAATACTCACGAAGTTCTGCTGGGTGTCAAACCATTGCGGCCGTTCAAAAGACAATCTCAACACACAGCACATTTTACAAGTATCGGGAGATAATTATACAAGCTCCCAAATGCCGATATGTCAGAAGCAAAGTCAGAGAGTGGATGAAATATCCACTAAAATAAAATCATATTTACCGTAACGTGATTGATGCTGCTGGAAATGAATCCAAAATCCAACAGTTGTTTGTGTTCGTCGTTCGTGCGTTTCGATAAGTAGCATGCGGCATGCAGCATGTACCGCGGAGCAGAAGCTAGCCAGCGCTTCAACCGTTTTCCCCATTAACCCACCGCCGGAACCTCAGGGTGCGCTATTCATGAAGCTCAGCTGGCCTTGTGCCTTAGCTGCAGAAAGTTCTTTCATAAGATGTATGATAATTTACTGTTCATAGATGATTTTTTTAATAATTTGCGATTTTCTAGGTGTAAACTTTTTTTTGACTCACAGCGTAGTGTATGGTCTAACTGCATCATTTCTTAACAGATTTCTTTCAAATTGACAATGGAAGTGTATGTTGGTAAAATCTATGCAACTATAGTTTTTTGGTGATGCTGCCACCAGTGTCCCGTGTTTTATAGGGTCTAAGGTCATATTTTGGTGGGTGTCTAGTCTGCGCTTTGCAGGACATATTTCATGACGGATTTCTTTCAAATTTTGTATGGAGATGTATCTTGGTACAATGTACACATCTACACTTTTGGTCAATGCTGCCCTCATTGTTCCGTCTCTTATATGGTCAAAGGTCCTATGTTTTTTATGTGCTTTAACTGCCACATTTCTTTCAAATTTTCTACAGAGATACATTATACTCTAATCTTCACACATATTGTTTTGGTGATGCTGCTCCTAGTCTTGACAAAAGTCTGAGCCACTAGTTGCAACCTCTCTACGCCATCCTTATATTTCAGGGAGGGGAGAGGTGATCTTTGTCCCTCCTTCGAACATAAGGATGACACAAAATCGCTGTCACTGTCGGGGGATACATTCGCATTGCATTGCACGGCAATACGGATTGCGATATTTCTAGTTTCATATATTTTAGCTTTACAATTTTGTTTAAGGTGATTGACGCTCTAAAGGGTCATAGGTTTTCATTTTAACATTTTAAAACATACCATTTCCATTACTTTCTGCATTGATATTTACAGATATTGATGAATGTGAGAGCCAGCCGTGCCAACACGATGCAAGCTGCCTTGATGGAAGTAACTCCTTCACATGTATCTGTGGATTGGGATATACAGGGTCTACGTGTGGTGATCAGATTCTACCGTGTGACTCTGATCCCTGCCTCAATGGAGCGTCTTGTGTGGATGAAGTCAATCAGTTTACGTGCATGTGTGCTCCAGGATATACAGGTATACCAATGATTATCCTCATTTTCAACAAGTCAAAATTGTACAACTCTCAGTTTAAGACAAATGAATTATCTTTTCGTCACCTACGTAGTCATCTTTTATTGTATGTTGACCTTCCAACAAATTTAATAACCTTTTGCATTTTAAGATTCTTGGATTTACCTGTTCACTCTAATATCCTTTGAACATGTCAAATGTTTGTCTCAAAGGCATACAATTTTAATGTTTTATTTCTTTCTATAAAGGAATCGTTCTCTCTATCTCCAGATATTAAGCCAATAATTACCGTTGGTGAAGGTGATGGGACAAACTATAACTTCCGAGGCGATCTGGACGTAGCTATCTTTCTGAAGCAAAGCTGAGGAAAGATAGCGTATATATTCAGATCGCAGAGGAAGTGATAGTTTGCCATCGCCAAAAGGCGATTATTTGCTTTATATTCCACATCGGAAACATTTCACTTCTTCCGTCATTTTAGAGCAACAAGTCATCAATTAACAGCTAGCAAACGGTGTATGAAATGTACAGTGTATGCAGTATGGTGGTGCGACCATAATTTGCGCGTGACTAAAGTGCGCGTACTAACACTAAGAGCGCTTAAAGAGGAGAGCAATACGCAACATACAAAATTATAGTGCGTTGCACTGTGTAGATAGTACTTCTATCTTCAGTGAAAGATAGTGTAGATAGTACTAATATCTACACAGTGCAATGAACTTTTTGCTTCTCCCATCAATGATAGGCGAACTATCTTTCATCACATGATTTACTTTTGACCAATCATAGAGCAAGATTCTTAGTATGTGGAATATAACAATTTATACATTAATCTTTTTGTGCATTCCCATACCTTAATCTTTTTGTGCATTCCCTGCGTTCAGTACTCTATGTCAACCACAGCTAAAACTCAATTTTTCCCCCCAATGTTGACAGGCTCCCTGTGTGAGGAACAAATCGACTATTGTGATCTATCACCATGCATGAACAATGCAACCTGTACGAATAGCATTGGCGATTTTGAGTGCTCTTGTCTCTTTGGCTTTGGTGGAAAAACTTGCTCAGAGGACATAGATCATTGTGATGATAATGCATGTTTGAATGGTGCAACCTGCTTAGTCTCTGAACTGTCATTAGGTGGATACACCTGTCAATGTGGAGAGGGATATATAGGAGTGAAATGTTCTAGTAACATTGATGATTGTAGGAGCAGTCCTTGCTTAAACGATGGTAATTGCACTGATGGCATCAACAGTTTCACTTGCTCATGTACAACGGGATACAACGGTTTTATATGCGACAATGACATTGACTTGTGTGCTGATTGGAACTGTCAAAATGGTGGCACTTGCAAAGATCTTGGAAAAAGAGCGGTCTGTGCGTGTCCTGAGGCCTATGCCGGACAGTTCTGTGATGAAGTCAGGACAGCATGCAGTGACTCTCCCTGCAGAAATGGAGGCACATGTACATCTGGTGATGATACCACCTTGGCCTTCGATTGCACCTGTACCGAGGGATACATTGGACAGACCTGTGAGACAGAGGTCAACTTCTGTCAGCCAGATCCTTGTAGGAATGGAGCTACTTGTGAGGATCAAACTGCAACTTACATCTGCCACTGTCCTGATGGATTCACAGGTAAGTAAACTAGCCTTTCAGTTGAGTTCATTTCAACACTTGCTGAAACTTAGTTTACTTTGAGTTAAAAGATGAAAACAAAACCAAATTCCTGGTAGATTTGCTGTGGGATACTATCATTAATGTCAACATGTGTGTACATGTATTTTTTTTAAAGGGGAAACCTGTGCTGAGGAGATAAGATGGTGTGATGACATTCCATGTGGACTGAACTCAACCTGCATAGAAGAACCCCTTTCCTTCACTTGCCTGTGCGATGTAGGTTACACTGGAGAGAGATGTGAAGAGGTGTTGACTGTCTGTGATGCCCAAGACCCTTGTCTCAATGGAGCTACATGTAGCGGAGACTCTCTTACATTTCAATGCCAGTGCCCACCAGCATATCAAGGTGATTATAATTGGTATTGAGTTTATCAGAGAGGTAGAAAATAATGTTAATCTAATGGACAAAGCTGACTAGAGGAGATTTAAGTTTTAATGATCATCTATACTAACTGATTTTTGGTTCAAATAACACTCTAAAACAGCAGCAAAAAAAAAATTAGGGTAAAAAAACAAAGAAATATATAAGAATTTCATAAATACATATATTTCTTCTTTTGTAATAAAAAAAAACTTGCATATTTTGTATTTATCTCCAAGAACTTTACTTACTTTATTATCAATTTTAAATGTGTATTTTTGCATATGTTTTGCATAAATTTTAATATCAATAATAAGAAGAAAATATTACATAACAATAATGATGGATTTGTGTTCTTTACGCCATTTTTAAGGTCTATGCTCTACCTCTAGTGTGCACATGTAGCATATCATCGAGTGTCACACAATATATTTTTTAGCTCATTGGGATACTTTCAAATAAGTACCATATTGTAGGATTTTGATAATCATGTCATCTCTTGTTCCCGCTTTCTAAACAACAGGGTTGTTATGCGAGCATGAGATCAACCCATGTGCTTCTTCACCCTGTCTAAATGGAGGTTCCTGTGTGAAAGATCTACAGTTTTATCGGTGTGACTGTACTGCAGGGTTTGAAGGAATACACTGTGAAGGCAATCAGGATGAATGTGCAAGCGAGTAAGCTAACCCAAGTATTCCAGAAAGCAATCTACTAAGGCTGTGCATAACAGTGTAATGAGGTACTCAAGTACACTCCCATGCTTACAGGCGAATACTCGGACGCCATGTTTTTTTTCTAAATTAAAAAAAAAAAAAAGCCAGCATCATACATACTACGGTAGAGAAGTATCCCAAGTCCGTCTTCGAAAACTCCCGCAATTTTACTTCGATTTGCAGTTGAATGCTCTGATATAATAATTATAACAATATTAAACAATGCTGTTTTTAAAACCAAAGATGACGGACGGCTTTTCCTCCTAGTCCACAAACAGAAATCGGGACATTTGTCTCAGCTTCTGAGTGGTGAGTTGACAGTGATTGAGCTGGGAAACATTTTTACCCATGGTACCACCATGCCCGTGCTCTCCCCGTAGGGCACGGGTAAGCGTTGGCCTGGATAGTGGCAAGTGCCGGTGACGCGCAAAAAAAAAATTGGCGCCCGATTGAGTAGTTGTCAACAGTGCCAGTACTCTAATATTTGACTACTCGTCGCAGCCTTATAATCTAATAACTGAACACTCTCACATAATCCTACATACATGTGCTTGCTTTTCACGTAACTTTTATCTGTGTAAGGGCACAAATGTGTTCTTGTTTAAGATAAAGTTGAGTTCTGGTCATGCTTGACATCCTCCACACTATCATAATAACAATGATAACGTTCACAAATTATTTGTTACCTCTCCCCAGAACTCAACCTTCTCTTTAACCCTATCTAGCCTTGGGGGGGGGGGGGGGGGGCTTTAGAATATATATATACATTTTGTACAAGACAATGTTAAATAAACTCATGTGCAGTCAGGCAAGAGTACAATAATTGTATATATATATATATATATGATTGTTAGCATAATCAGATATATGCACTTATGATACAAATGAAATAATCCCCATGTTTCCTCTCAATCAATAAAGTTGATTTTTAATAACTTTTTTGTTACATGCAGCAATAATCAATCATCTTCTTCATGCTGCTTTGTTACTTTGTTACATTTATTTGATTCTCTTGCATATTCTTTCTCTTCTTAAATAGACCTTGTGAACATGGAACATGCATTGATGGAATCAACTCTTTCTCCTGTGGCTGTGAAGCAGGATACACAGGCCATACATGCAGTGAAGACATGTTTTGTGATGCCAACCCATGTCAGAACGGGGGATCATGTGAAAGCCTAATCACAAAATTTAGGTAATCTAAACAGCAAGGGCTTATTAGCATAGCTTAGTTTAGAACATGTTCAATAAATTTAACCTCTTCCATATAAATTGTTGGGAGCGGCCCCCTTTTCTATAATCATCAGGCTGCGGATGCCTTTGTTCTAATAAGCATTTTTTATTTGATCTAATAGTTTTATAAATCGTTCATTCCTTTCTACACTGTAGTTGCTTGTGTGCTCCAGGATTTCGGGGAACAACATGCAGCAGCCAAATAAACTTCTGTCGTCTAAGACCATGCACAAGTGGAAATTATGTACGTTGTGAGAATGTAATCGGTGGTTACACATGTGGGTGCAAGGATGGTTTCACTGGATTAAAATGTGAGTCTGAGATCAACGAATGTGAGATGTCACCATCTCCTTGTCAGAATGATGGAAGGTGTATCAACCAATGGGGGACATTCACCTGCCAGTGTCAACTAGGCTTCACCGGTAACCTGTGTGAAGTAAGTATCCAATTATCATTGATTCTATCTAAATCAAGATTACAGAGTCTTCAATTAAAGTGGATTAATTGAGGCAAATAACACATCATTCATAAGTTCATACGTGTAATGTATAATTTATGTCTGTATGTCTCTGTGAATGCATTTTAACATGTCCCCATATCAAGCTTCAACAATGGCAGATTGATTTCTTAGGCGCCTTGGATTAATTCGAGTGGCAGTAAACACGCGGCTTTATGCAACGTGGCCTAGTTTGCGTGAAAGCCACAATCGTCCGCACCCCTCTATTCAAAAGCCGGATGCGAAAATCCCGCTTATTGGTGCATACGTTTCAACGACTTAAGAACAGAACGTGACCTACTCGTAGTGCTTTCAACCGATACCAGTTGACCGCCCTCTATAGTCTGCCATGTAACTCTCAAACTATGCAGGGGCCGCGGAAGCGGGTGGCTGGGTCTTACACGTTTTATGCTCAGACCCCCCCCCCCCCAGGTATATGAAATGAAAAGAATCTGACCCAGTTACACAGGTAATAAACAAATTAAAATAAGTGGTGAAGTGTGACGTCATCAATAATCTATGTTTTGAATTTCTCAGTTTTTCTTAATTTTCCGAAAGAGCAACAAAAATAATGTCCAAATATTTATAACAATTGAATATGTGAAGTATTGGCTGAGATATGACCATCTGAATAAATATATTTCCTATGGGAACTCAGGGTTATTCGCTCTGGCTCCTAATGATTTTATCTTGGACATCTAACGTTGCCTTTGCCCAACTTCGCGCATTAAACAGTAGTTTATTGAATAGACACCCTCCCGAGTCCCCCCCCCCCCCCCCCCCCCCCTTTTCCCCTCTCCCCCTCTATCAAACTCGCCTTTCATGCTATGGTAATACGTTGCGTTAACATTTTATGCGCCATTATGTTAGTGATTGTGATAGATTTTGAGCGAAAGAATGGTAATTAGATGGGGAAAAAGTATTAAACAGGGAAACAAGACACACAAAATCATATTGCCAGTTGAGGTTGACATAAAAGCAAGCGAAGGAAGATGGCTTTCATATTTAGAGTTCAGAAATAAACAATATGAGTGAGAGGGGTTGGAGAGACAGAAAGTTGGACGAAGTCTGTACTGTATTCATCATTATGATATTTGTCTCTCTAATCACCCCCCCCCCCCTGGGCTCTTTTTTTCTTTCTGTTCTGTTTGTTTATATATTTTCGCTTAAGTATAATTTCCGACGTATATTAACACCATCAATATAGCATAATGAACATTTTTTTGTCATATCAGTTTGATGCAACAGAGAATTTCATTCAAAAGTTTACTTCTGATAATTATTATTGTACTGTTATATTCTTCTCTCCGTTCATTTTAGCTTCTTCCGAATGTTTACGTTATATTTCTTAATCTCTTGATGAAATATAAACACCAGAAGCTAGTAGTTAGTGGTTGCAAACAAAACACTGCAACTGATGGGTTCGAAAATCAAAAACATGAATAGACTTCCTGCTTTTTCACTGCAGATCATAACAAAGCGAATGAAAATGGGCAGACCGTAGTTTAGATAATCCGGCTATTGTTTTCTATCATTGGAATAATCCACCAGCTCCATCTTCTCACGCATGCATGCCGGTGAATGGACTGTCGTTGTTGTTGTTGTTTTATTTAGGCAAGTCAGTCAGTTTATGACCATTATTGCCGAATAATATGAACAATTTCGTTTTAAATTCTAATTTACGTATATGCACTCACATAAAATGCGTGTATATTATGAATAATATATAAATAATATTTGTTTTTAAGATATGTAATTATATATTACATTCCTTGGTCACGCTTTGCTTAAAATAGATTATGATTATGTCCATGATACGGACAGAATGAATTGAATGTGTATTTTCATTATATTATATTGCAAGCAAATGGCGGAATAGAAAACAATATGAAAGATGTAGATGGAAACGACATTGGCAGATATAGACAAAGAGAGAGAGACAGACAGAGAGAGAGAGAGAGAAAAGAGAGAGAGATGAGAGACAGAGAGAAAGAAACAGAGAGAGATGAGAGAGAGAGAGAGATAGAGAAAGAGAGAGAGAGAGAGAGAGTGAGAGAAAGTTAGACGCTTCATTATAATTGGCTGGTTGTTCAGATAATATTGTAAACAACTGATTGCATTTTTAAACAGGTCGTATTATTTTTAAACAACCCTTTTAATGAGATCACGATTCGACGTACTCCTAAATAAAAATAAAAATCTCTGTTGCATCAAAATAAAATTATACGTTCATTGTATGTTATTGACAGAAGTAATATACATCGGACATTATACCAAAGCACAAAAGGGTTATCTATAGAAGAAGGTGGACAACGTTATTAGAGATAGAATAACGATTTCTCTTTTATTTATACAAAAATTAACAGCATAAATACCCTTACAAAAACAGAATAAATCTTGAAGAGAGAGAGAGACAAGAAAAATGTGAAAAGGACCCAACAAATAAAAATAAATAAATAATAGGATTCTAGAGCGGAAGATGATAGGGAAAACGTAATAGATTGGTAGTATTGGCAAATTTTGACAATTAATAGTTTGTAAGTAAATTAACAAAGTATATACAAACAAAAACGACATTTAAAAGATTTTAGAACTACCGGTATATAGAATGATTATACGAAAAGAGTTATGTCTGAGGCCTACCTACATCTATGTTACGTAAGAGGAACAATAAACTTGGCCAAAGGTAGAGTTAGTTGTCATGGTTATAAACTCAAACAATAGAAGGGCGGATTATGAGGTACTAGGGTGATTGCCGTCATGAGATTTCTTTAGGGCGAGCACGGATTACGCTGCTCCCAATGCAGAATGCGGATATAGAGGCAGACTGCACCCAAAATGGGTGGCCAGTGAAGAAACAAAAGAGAGAGTGGGAAGAAAAGAGAGAGAAAGAGAAGAGAGGGAGGAAAAGAGATGAACAGGAGCAAGAGGAAAAATTTTCCTTGGAGAGGGCTTTATACCAAGTTCAAAGAAAAAAATAACATTTAAAACCTTCCGTAAAATGTGTTTTGCCTCTATGAGTTAAATGACAATGGAATAGTATAGTCTCCAAACAAGAATTCATGAATCAACACATTGGCTTTATGGCCAGCACGCAATTGTTTATACCGGCGAGAGAGAAAAAAACCCACTAGTCTTTATTTCCATTAATTGCTGGAGAATTAAATTTGAATGGGGCGCCCATAACCCGTGTGTCTAGATTGACACCTCCAAGTTACCTCCCCGAAAAAAATCTACTTTTTAAAAATTAATTTGGTTATATATACACAGATAAAACGTAATTGTTTAAAATGCTAACAGTTCATTACAATACAACAGCTTGTTGAATTTTTTAAACAGGTCTTATTACTTTTAAACAACCCTTTTAAACAGTGTTTTTATAGTGCATAATAATCCGTTCCAAACATACAGAGTACAGTGCTAATTAGACATGAACCCAAGCTAAGCTAAATAACTTAGTTTAGCCGCAGAGGGAGCTAAACAAGTATGACGAATCTTTCAATGGGTTGAAAATTTTCTGGCTTGAAAAGGACGTCACAGTGTTTGGACACACACAATGCGTCTTCTCGTGGGCAAATCGTGCATCCGGGATTAACTCAATACGGCTTTGATGCATGCGCTCTCAGGTTAAAAAGCTGCAGCTTCTCGCACATGAGAATTAATCCAAGGCGCCTTAGAAGGTCACACTTTTAGCCATCTGTGAAGAATCAAATAGCAATCAGTGATAATTCTCCTCAACATGCGAATGTACAGTGTACATGTACTTATGTTGTACCTTATACTGTGTATCAATATCTCACTGTTTAAAAGATAAACATTGCTGACTGCATGAACCACGCCTGTGAAAACGGGGCATCCTGTATAGACGGCATCAATAGTTACAGCTGTCTTTGTACTGGAGGAACATACGGGTCACGGTGCCAGCTGAAGTCAACACCATGTGATAACAACCCCTGCTACAATGGTGGTGTGTGCACTATTAATCAAGCTAGTTTCTCCTGTGAATGCCTGTCTGGTTTTACAGGACCTTCCTGCGAAGTCGACATTGATGACTGTGTCAATCATCGTTGTGCTAGCAGCTCGACATGTGAAGACCAGGTATAATCTTAAACGTCTTCAGAAGGAATGGTGTTCCATACCTGAAATTCCAATGTAAACTTCAACATGCCGCCTTCTAATCAGGACGTAATTTGAGAACGATAGTTCCCTGAGATCTTAGATGTGATTTTGTTCAATCTGCGGGTGCTGAGATCAAGCAACATAGTATTTTGAAGGGAGTATCTTTGCCAAAATGCAATGACTTAGAGTCTTAAAGTGTTTTGCATGCTCTCATAGTATAGGCCTACTGATCAGTCTGTTGGAAGCGAATAATTCATAGAATCACAAATTATGTTCAATTTTAAAAATATATTTTTGTAATAGTATTTTGATTGCATCAAACACATACAACTGATTTGTTTGACATTAAGGTCGGTGCATAGGTTTCATATTGTGTAAATTTCTTTCAACTTTAATATAGTGGGATAGCTACCGCTGCATATGTCCACTGGGTGTAACTGGAGACTTATGTGATCAGGAAATTGATGACTGTCTTTCTGAGCCTTGCCAGCATGGAGCAACTTGTATAGATGGAAGATCAAGATATACATGTGCCTGTTCAAGTGGTTAGTAAGAAATCGCTGTTCAGATCTCTGTGCCCACCCTCTACCAATGCCACTAGGTCTCGAAAGCAAATGATGCATTACATAATCAAAATCGGAAACTATTTCACTAGAAGCACACTTTGATCAAAGCCTTCAAGTTTTTCCTGCACTAATACATCAGTTTGTTTTTACAGAGTTTTTCATGATACACATGACTAAAGGCACATGAATTCTTATGACAATTTTGTTATTAGAATTGAACACCATTTGATAAAATGAGTAACAAATATTGCCTCCACATTCACATCTCTTTCGACCAGGGGGCGTCTTCTTGTACCTAAATATATATATAAATTGTAATTTTTAAACAGGCAGTAAAGCATATCAAAATTCTATTTGTGGCGACACACAAATTTGATGAATACGTATTTTTCATATTTTATGATTTCATTTGAAAGGGTTAATATTTTGTGTTTAATTCTTTGAAGGATTCACTGGAAACTTCTGTGAAGTTGACATCCTTGAATGCTCCTCTAACCCTTGTGTCAACTTTGGTACATGCATAGAAGAAACTGATAGGTTTGATTGCCAATGCGCAGAAGGTTATCGGTAAGAACTGTAGATATAGCAATAAGAGTATTGTATAAGATTATTCTGGTTTTGAATAAATGCTGGAATGCCTGTAATGTAGGAGAATACTACACGTAAATAGCGATGTGACAATATACAGCTGAACTAGAGAAGAAGAGATGTTTATTAAATCTAACGAGATAATGAATAATGGTAATAATTATTGCTTCTCATGAAGTGCTTAGGTCCGTCAAATGCAAGGTTATACATAACATATAAAAAAGAACTTAATATTTAGCATTGCGTACTGTGTGTTTTGTCAGTTCTTCCAATTAGTTGTTATAATGTTTGTTTATTATATATTTCAGTGGTACGAACTGTGAAGAGCTTATAAGATCATGTGTTTCCAGCCCATGCAAGAATAATGGCACCTGCACAGACGGCTTCATGCAGTTTATCTGTACTTGTCATCCTGGCTTTACAGGGGATGAATGTGAAACAGGTACTAAGTTTCTAGTATCTTACCATATTTTTCCCTTTCGTCTCTACAGGATTACTGTATGTTGATGTTCATGGGTATCAAATTGGTATACATATATCAGTATATATATATATACATACATATATATATATATATATTAGCTCTGACTCAAACTTAATGCAGTGACATTCTTAAACAGCAACTTTTTTGTTTATAATAGTAAATTATGTATGGACCGTGAATAATGAATAAACGTTTTCCTTAACCTGCACACCATTGTATAAAGACAATGAAAGCCCTTTCCCTGTAATTGTGACACGTATACCTTGTGCTACCTTTATTCCCCAGTTATTCCTGATAATTATGATCTCAAACTGGTTCCTGAGATATCTTCCATTGTGTTTTCTGCTGATGTGAGCACCGAATTGCAGAATATAACTGTTTCTCTCTGGGTGAAGGCAGATGTGACATCATCTGACAAGCAGCTCGTTGACTTTAAGATGGGTAATCTTCAGTTCGGCATTTACAATCCTTGCAGTCTTTTTTTCAAAGAAGCTGGGTGAGTGAATCTGTTGCGCTTTGATTTAACATTACCCAGAATATGGTTGAGAATTATGAAGTAAGAATTTTCATTGATCACCAAGCACTTATTTATTTTGTTATATCATACATGGACCCATGTATGAAAAGCATTGGCATAAGAATTTGACCCTTATCTATGCACACTATTTCAAATAATTACAAATAATGAAATTTTATGTATTGTATATACATGTAATACCAATACAAATAATAGATTCATTTTCCCTAGCTGAACATGAGTTTTGCCTTCCTAAATTTCGATAGCTAATACATATATAACTAATTGAGTCAATGTTCATTCTATATTTGCAATACATTTATACCATACACCTAATGATTACATAGACTACCTAATTAAACCACTTGACTGCTATTGGCTCAACATACCCCCTGTGCTACAGGTTTTTTTTGGGAAATATGATATTCATGTATATATTGCTTACATATTTGTTTTTTACCTTAATTTATTACTTATTTTTTCATTATAATTTTTGTTTTATGGAAGTCATAATTGAATGGAGCTATAAATATATATATAGGTTGTTTCCATCCCCACTATCTCCGGTAGTAGGAAGATATCGAGGAGACCTCCATTTTCCAGGAGGGATGGGGGAGGATGAATGCCTGCTTGGACTCCCACCAACATCCATTAATGGGATTACATCATTACTTTCATCACCAGATCTTTCATTTTCATTATCGAAATCACCTACCCGGTAGATCCATAAAGTCTTCCTCTTCGCCTTCTGAAATATCCGAACAATCACTGAAATTACTTTTGTCATCCAATGTATCATCCATTATGTAAGAACTCTGCAGTAAACGGCGGGCCGCCATCTTGATTTTTTTCCCGCTCAGTACACACTGCTATACAGCTTACATAACTGTACACATAGTTGTAAAAAAGGACATGTACGTGGTACGCAGTCAAGTGGTTAAATTCATTTTAAATAATACATATAAATGTTTACGATTCAGTTGCATTCATAGACATGTAAAACAATTTCGGTGGTAGGTAAATCAGGAATTAAGAAAAATTGTAATTACAATATTGGCATTGGATCTTTCATTCTGATCATAATTGAATTCCTTAATTTTCTTTTTTTTCCAGTCGGATTCATTCATCTACTGGGCCTACCATTTGTGATGGTCGCTGGCATCATGTATTGATCCTATTCATTAACATTGGAAGATGGTCTGTTCTCCTGGATGGCTCTGAAATTATGAGTGACAATAGTGATGCATCTCAATACAATCTCTCAGGAAACTTGCAACTTGAAGTTGGAGCTGATAAATTTGACCGAAACGGTATGATAAGTCAACCAAACTACATGTGTGTCTCTTGCAGAGCCAATGAACTGATTAGAATTTGGGGTCAAAGTGTCACAGGGCTCATTATGTATGCAAAAATAGCTTGTGATTGCGTTATCTCAAGATCCAATTGATGGATTTCCGCCAAACTTGGGTCATTATGTCTTGCGGAGCCAATGAACTGATTAGATTTTGGGGTCACAAGGTCAAAGGTCACAATAATAATAAAAACGTTACTTATAAAGCGCTTACCACCGAAGTCTCTAAGCGCTATAACAGACAAAATAGACTGATAAACAATTACATATTAAACATAACAAAAAAGAGCAAATAAACCTACAAATTACAATACATATACATCAAAGTGAACATGGAGCTCATTAGGTATGCAAAAATAGCTTGTGAACCCATTATCATTAGAACTGACGAATGGATTACTATCATTTATAGGTTCATGAGGTCAAAGATCAAAGTGTCATACCTGTATTAGAAAAATAGCTTGTAATCACGATATTCTGAGAACCCGTTAATAGATGACAATCAAACTTGAATTTTTTAAATTGCTTCTGTTTTGGTTAGTAAAATCGCTCTATGGCAGAGGCATCATTTTCGACTGCTTGCAGTCGAAGATCCATCAAATTCTTTAGAAGAATCTATACTTGATAAAAGAAAAACACATCGTTCATTATACACAGTTGATGTGCAGCTATGAGTGGGTTGGTAAATATTGTGTGCACAAGGTAAACTTTAGCCATGGTTAAACACACGAGGCATAGATGAGTGTGTTTTAGACCTGCCCAAAGTTACTGGTTGCACACAATTCCACTGACCCACAAAATCAAACCGCGTATCATCTGTATTATAGAATGGACTTTAATTAAACAAAAAACAAACAAACAAAAATTAGCAGACACGTGAAATCATTTTACCGGACACATGAAATTTTTTACCGGATGCATGAAAGAATTCTAAGAATTATAAAAAAAGAAAAAGAGAAAAAAAGAACAAATCACAACAATTAAAAAATGAAACAAATTATAAAAATTATATTACAATTTTTTTTTAAAGGTTAAAGGAATAAGAAATTAAAAATCATCCAGTAAAAATATCTATACAGTATTAAAAGTATTTCGTTTCATTTCTACCCATTCTATAATTTCGACTGTAAGATCTTTCATTTTGTGTGCTATGTTTAGACCATTTGATTTGCAAGACATAATTACTGCTCTGTTGGAAATGAAAAATGAACATAAAAACTAAACTGAAACTGAATATGAAGCACAGAAGCTCTATAATTACCATTGCTTTCCACTCTTTGTTCAGTTGCTCGTTTTGTGCTTAAGAATTATATCTAATGATTTTTTACTTTAATCACAAAGAACAAGGACATGATTTGATTTCATTTGTTTGTAGATTCTATTTACATGACTGGCATCAACGTTTGGAGTGGATATGTTTCAGATGACGTGTTGTCTAGAGTCACATCAGAGTGTTTGCCACAGCTTTATGGGAACATTATTTCATGGACAGACTTTGACTCCCACCAGGCTTTTCCTACAACCTCCCTGACTCCCTCAATGTGTGATGGTAAGGATAGCATTTTCAACCAAGTACATAATATTTTGTCATTGTTTAAAAGTTTGTATTTGATTACATAGGATTGTAAAGGAAAACTTTTCTCCAGGAAAGTGGATTTGTACAAATACATCGCCCTATAATCAGCTCTCAAGTTTATCTGTAACTTTTTTAATTTGCTGACATGAGGAACACAGGCTAAGTTGGAATTCACATAGTGCACTTGTTACAAGCATGTTCAAGATAATTTTCAGAAAGAGATGTGGTGAAATATTCAAATTTAAATTCTTTATGTAGTAAATTAATTAGTACTGGTAAGTAAAAAAAAAATTTTTATTGACTTGCTAATGCATGACAAAAAAGTAACATGAAGAGTTTGGAAGAGAGATTTAAACTTCTGTTTATTATTGAGTTTTTCCCTGATTTGTTGTAGATACTGATGAATGTCAGAGCCTGACCCCCTGCCAAAATGGAGCTACTTGCATTGACAAACTCCGCTCCTACATATGCGTGTGTCTTGAAGATAATGAAGGAATAAACTGTGAAAAGTTTATCGACCTGTGCAATAATGCGAGCTGCGAGAACGGAGGATCTTGTACAACTATGAATAGGACAATTCTCTGTTCATGCCCTGAAAGATTTTTAGGAGAGTTTTGTGAGCTTGAAATTAGTAAGTTGATTCAGCTATTCCCTATTTACAAAATACAGTTAACAGCTAAATTATTCATACCCTTACAAAATGATTATCCCCAATTTAGGTTTCTTAAGAATATCAAAGCTTACATCTACAAGTATTAATCAAATGCCCTAATTCAACCAAAATACCTTTCATTCTTGAGTTACGAAAAACACAAAAACATGAAATTTACAAGGGGTATGAATATTAAATTTAGATGTTAACTGTACAGCCTTGACTTTTGGAGGTTTACTTTTTCTTTTATTAAAAAGAATGATATGCAGCAATCATTATTAAGATATATGCCATATTTCTATATTTTTCATCTGCAAATTGATGTATGAATTTGTATGAATTTAGTTTTATTTCTCCACACGTATCAATACATATGCTTAGATTAGCAAAGGGAGATTAAATTTTTTTGAAATAATTATGTCATGAATGTTACGTAAAAGATTAAGGGATGCAGGAATTTGTTGGGAATGTCCATCCATCCAGGAGAAATATACCTATAACATAATGAACAATTATAAGTTACAAGATTATTACACTATCAAATTATCGATGCAAATACAGATATTCAGCTTTTCTTAACTTTAGGCGTAATTTGATTGAAAACAAAATCTCCACATGTAACTTGATAAGATTTCTATATAGTAGTATGTTTATATACAAGGTCCTCTAAATTACATTTCGATTGCTTTGATGATTCATATCATAATTAGTGAAATGTTGAAAATTCTCTTTCTTCAGTTAATGGTAGTTGGAGTGATTGGTTGCCGTGGAGTCCATGCAGTGCATCGTGTGAAGGTGGAACTCGAAACACTTCAAGGGAATGTACCAACCCACCACCTAATGAATATGGACAACCTTGTCATGGAGAAAATACAAAACAAGAACCATGTAATATCCAGGAATGTCCAGGTACCTACCAACCCCAAATTGTAACTTCCACCCATCTCTCTGTCTTTGTTTATTTTCTTATTTCCAGATTGACTCTAACCTCACATTCAGATATTTAAAAAAAATATATATTTACATGTACCGTGAGAAAAATAGATGCTAAACTATGATGATGATGATGACGATGTATTGTAATGATGATTAGTTTACATATTTTGCGTACTGTAAAAGTAGATTAACTCACCTGTAAATTGTCAAAAAATAGACCTCTTGATTGACAGGGGTTGCAATTGTTTTGTCTCTTGTATTTTAAAGGTTGTCTTCATCTGCAGAGTCCTGAGAATGCCACACTTAACTGTTGGAGTGAAGGTGAAACCAAGAAGTGCACAGTTAGTTGTAACTCACCTGATCTTGGCTTCGTTCAACCTACGCTGCCAGAGTATTCCTGTGGCCTGGAGTCAGATTACAAATGGGATCATGAAAGTGATAACAATCGTAGAGCAAGTTTGCCTCCTTGCAGGGGTAAGTTAACATGTTTGAGGTGTCGTCATCTAGTGGATACATCATCTGCGGATCCCATGGTTCATTGCTTGAGTCCTGCAGCAGCACATCATGTACTTTTTTGTTGAAATTATATCTTAATAATGATACTGATAATAATACTAATAATACTAATAATGTATATCCGTATGCAGAGTGGCAAATGTTGATTAATGTCTTGCCAAATGACATTAGTGTAGGGCCAGAGATGCCCACCGTTACGGTTTTGCCGTATTTGTTATGGTTTTAATGCTCTTGTTACAGCATTACGGTAAACAATCAAAAGGTTACGGGGAAACGATAAATAAAAGTACATTACATAGCAAATACCGCCTTAAATAGCCTCCGTACACAGCGCTGCATGTCGCACGCATTACTCATTAGTTCACTGAATTTGACTACACTGGATAGGCACTTTCGAGCACATGGTCCGTTCGCCGCCATCTTGTTTACTTCCGAAACAACACGGCTGTTATTACTGTTTTGATAATAGTATGCTACGAGCGGTCGTGCGTTTTGGGGGGAGCATGGTGGTAGATGATCGTGTGCACGGTGCCTGCAATACCCATTCAAAGTATAGTAGCGAAGACTTCGGTTCGAAATGCAGTAAGAGTGACTGGGTGTTTGAGTACGTTTTGCCCGAAAATTATGCTGCGGTGTCTTGCGTTCCGGAAAAACCCCCATTATGGACAAATATAGTAAATGTTACTGACAGCCATCCTATAGGGTTGGCATCTCTGCCGGGCTGGGATGCGAACCCTCAACCCTTGGATTGAGACTCCAGTAAAAGAACCACTGTACCACAATACCACAACATTTGTGATAAGCGCTATATAAAAGCTAAATATTATTATTATGATGGAATTGTACCAGGTTCATTTACCTGTTGTGCTAAATGTCAGCTTTTTGCACGATCATTCATAAAAAAACATTATATTATTAAAAAAAACAGGAGCAAAACTTTCAAATTTCCATGGGCCAATGCTTGGTAATCGTACTATTATCTTTCTATGTAATTCCTAGAAACGATGTCTCCGGATTCGTTAGAGGTGCAAGTCAACTTTGCTTACCCAGGCGCAACATGTGCTTCGGTAGCAGATGAAGAAAGCCTTAAAGAACTAGTCAGCTCTAACATCATGAACAATGTTGAAGGCAGTGGCTGCAATGATTGTGCTCTCTCAAATATACAGGTTGGTATGACATCGACTAAAGTTCATCAATCATATTTTGTATAAATTATATTATATACCTCATATGAAGATTCTAGGCTTCCGATTGGTTAAAACTACAGGCATAGCATTCGCTACTGCTGGCTAATATTGCAAAAAATATTGACCAGGGCCCCGTCTTAAAAAGGGTTGCGATTGATCCAAATCAATCGCAAGTTCTCCAATCAATCGCAAGTTTGCAGTCTCCCATTTCTTATGTACATAATTGCGATTAATATCAACTCTTTATAGGAAAGGGCCAAGGTATAGTTCTACTAGCACGTGCAGTGCAAGACCACAATGATTCTGTGTGAAGTTAACAATGGATAAGCACAGTGACACAAGCGCAGAGCTATCAGACCTGTTAGTTTTCCTATAAATACATTTTTGCCTGCATAGTTTGTTAATTTTTCTTTTTTTTATAATTGGCATATTGACAGCATGTTTTCGGGTCTCAGTTGAACCCATAGCGCTATTGTCATGCGGAGATGCTGCAAACATTGTTCAGTGCCCCTGCAAATGCTACATTAACCTTGGTTGCCACTCAACTGCTAAGATGTAGAGCGCCATCATTCATGATAGCTGTTACACATGAATGCAACTGCAGATTAATACCTTGGGATTCGAACACTCAAACTCTAAGTTGAAAGTCAATTTAATGAGCTACTACGCCAAGACACCTCAATACATATATTGTTAAACATGAATAAGGATATCAAAAATAATATCGCTTGTGACATTCATTTGTCTCGCAATGTATGTGATGAAAAGATCACAACCCTTCGTGCGCCGCTGCAACACTTCGTCACGTGATAAAATATATTGTTAGCAAGCGTTTTTTATACTCTACAGGTGGACCGGCGGTCAAAAAATTTGATCAATAATTAGAACAATAACGGACAAGGCCTATTGGCCAAAGCACACAGGTGCTCAACCAATCAACTGGCTCGGTGCGGGCCGGATGGATCCAAAATTCGGGGATATCAATCCCGTTGTCCCTGTTCAAATTATTGGGATTGAGACGTATATTGAAAGCTTCTTTAACCCTCCTTGTGTACCAATGTCATTCTTGGGAAAGGCATTGAACCCCATCTCAGTCTGGCTGATGCTGGTTATCCCTAGCATGCTCGACATGCTCGGCTGAGTTGTCAGTTCGATGGAGCCTTACGTCCCTCTTATGCTCAGTGATTCTTTCTGATATTGGACAGGCGGTTTCACCAATAAGGGATCTATCACATCCTGTACAAGGGATGTTGTACACAATGCCGTCTCGTCTGTGTTGAGGAATAGGATCCTTGGGGGGTGTTAGTTGTTGACGTAGGGTGGTATCTGATCTGAAAACCATTCGGATGCCATGGCTCTCTAGGCGGCGCTTAAGTTGTTGGGAGACACCATCAACGTACGGCAAGACTGTTAATGCCTTGTATGCCTTCTGATCCTTTGGTTCCGACGTTCTCTTCTTGGTGTTGTGTACAAAACGACTTGGATAACCGTTAAGACTCTAATTGTTCTAATTATTGATCAAATTTTTTGACCACTGGCCCACCTGTAGAGTATAAAAGACGCTTGCTTACAATATATTTTATTACCTGACAAAGTGTTGTAGCGGCGCACGAAACGGCTTGATCTTTTGATCCCTTGTTGATCATACATTGCGAGACAAACGAAAGTCACTAGCGATATTATTTTTGATACTATATCAGCAATGAGTAATATATTTAGCATTATGAATAAGGATCATTAAAAAATCAACTTTTCTATGTTTAGTAGATGTAGGGCCAATTTTGTGACTTAGCAACATTTTGTTTATTTACATACATATACTGGTAGTTATATGTACAAAAGCATTGAGTTCTGCTTGGAGTTCGAGAAAATACACAAAAGCACAAAAGATAATGATCCTCCTACTAAAAGAATATAAATACATGTACATACACACATTATGTGCTACTCATTTTATTTCATTCTTTATGCTTTTCTGAAGTAGGTATTTCTTTCTTCAATTAATTAAGGTCAACAATTGTGGTCTGTCGAAGAAGAGGTCAATTGAAGAATCTCCTATCACTATCTCATTCAACATAGATTTCAGCAATGGTGAGCCACTAAAATACTAATAAACTGATGTGTTAAGTTTAGCTCTCTATAAAGGGTTGATATATGTTTATATTCCATAGAAATAATGGGTTATTAAAATATTTGTATGCCTTATTATCTCTATCAATAACAAATAAAAATAAACCCTCCTTGCTGATATTAAGGTGAAATGTAACCTAAAATAATTGAATTTTCTTTAACACTGAAAATGATTAGAAGAATTAAATTGGTAATAATATTAACAGAGATTGGTGCTTTTTAACACTTAGCGTTTGTGGTTTTGATCAGTTCTTATCAGTATATATATATATATGCTCTGAGTCTGTCTTGCCTCTTCTCATCCTCGGTAATGGATTTTTTTGCATTGATTCATTTTATTCTCTTATCCAGACCTCTGATGATGTTGTTTTTGTGTGTATTACACTCAGACAGAATTAAATCTTATAGTCTTTATGTTGGGATATTAAGATCAATTAAAAATGGGGGCATTTTTATTATTTCTAGCATACATATAAGTACTTTTTAATAGTGCAAAAAGGTACAAAATACTGATAAAAAAAATATAGGTACAAAAAATGAAATGTATTTACCTTATATCTATCAATTAAGTTGTAATACGATATAAAAAAAATATAAAAAATCATGTTTTGTATTAACCCTTACTGTACTGGGGGGGGGGGCCTGGGAGGCCCCCCCCTCGACATTTTCAAAGATTGCGCCGCAACCGCTTGGAATTTTGAATTGTCGTTTCATGACTTTTTTCCCTCAAGTCTTACGCACATTTTGATACTATTTTCGTTGAAATCGGATGTACCTGTAAGGCGTTACATAACAAATAGTATGCGCATGTCATCAAAAAAACAAAAATAAAATAAAAATTGCATCAAAATTTGCATAAATTATCATTATTAATTACATTAAAATAACTTTTTTGTGTTAGAAAAGAAGTTCCATATGAATAATGAGTTTCAACATTCAAAAAGTGGAGTTTGACACGTTTTCTGTAAAATGCATAAAATTAGGCAATAACGACAAAAAGTTGCATATTAGGAAAAAACTAATTATACCATCTTGTTCCTTACGTAAATATCTACAAACATGCAAATTTTCGTGTTCATCGGACAATCGACGGCCGAGATCATAGGGGGGGGGGGCCCCCCAGGGCCCCCCCCCCCCCCAGTCAGTGGGTGCTCAAAATAGCCCAGTACAGTAAGGGTTAAGTGCTGGCCTTGATATCACCAAAAACATTTTGAATGCTCCCCTACAACAGGTGCTTTTTGTAAAGGATACATTGATGCATAGCGCACATTTGCCCTCGTGATGCCCCTAATTGTGCCCCAACATTATCACCTCAGTCATACCACGGTCATGTATGTATACCTGTATTGACTTTTCCCCTTAGTAACTATGGAGGGATCATTCAGCGAATTTAGCAACAGATTTGACAATCGTGTGAGAAATGGATCCTTCTCCTTGGAAGTCGATGGTCAGGTCATTGCAGTTGAACTTAATCAAAGTAGCGGTGAGGTCAAGATTACGTGTCCAAGAGGGTCTGGTTTGACAGTACAGGGAAGCTGCGGTAGGTCAAGCAAATCTGCTTAAACATTTTATTGTACATTAATCATTGGTTTGCCTGAAGGAGCAATTTGCATTGATTGATTAGAAAAGCACTTTTGGGCAGTCATTTCGACATTAAATTATTACATTTTCCACCAGAAAAGCAATATTTCCTAACCATGCTTCTTATAGCTCAACCAGAGATTGTTAAAAGATGTTATCTGCGATACAGCTTAACCACTTGACTGCGGACCACATACATGTACGTGTTCTCGCTCTCGCATGCCTGTGCGTACCACGTACATGACTTTCAAGACATTAGCACTGCATAATGCCTAACCCTACTGTGTAATTAGCACTGCAATGACGTTATACAGTTCTTGAGCAGTAGCTGGCGCCCTTCCCCCCCAAAAAAGGCTTTAATTATTTTGTTATGAATGTGTGAAAGATCTGGTGATGAAAGTGATGTTGTAGTCCCGTTGTATTCCCACTAATGGATGTTAGTGCAAATAGAACAGTAGCACAGGGGGTATGAACGCGTATTAAGCCAATAGCTGTCAAGTTGTTAAAGAGAAGGTTGAGTATCATTGTTATTATGCAAGTGTGGAAGAACATCAGACAAAAAATGTTCCCTGAAAAGCAAAGGCTCTTCAAATGCCTCCATATTTTAAATATGACAAGTAACAGTTTAAAAATTGGCCCAATTTTATGCCACATGTATGTGTATAGTCCCATATAGGTAATTCAATAAATTAGGGACACACTCTGTGACATTTTTGGTGTCCCTGCTTTCTGTGTACAGTGCTTGTTACTTTACCAAGGCTGGGCCAAATTTCTTATCGTTTTGATGACTGCGGAACCTTACAGTACACACCAAAACTTATATGCTAAGTGATCAATTTTTTCTTGTCGATTCCACACCATTTCTTTCACAATGCCATCGCCTGACCAGAACTCAACTTCATCTTTGACGGCATATAGTGGAACAAAATGTAGAATTTATTTCCTAACGATATCATATCTTAATTTTATTCTTCTTTTCCCCCAATAGTTGTATGCCCCGCTGGTACTTTCCAGTACTTCCTACCAAACACCAGCGAAGCTGAGTGTGCACCCTGCTTGCTACACACCTATCAAGATCAAGAGAGACAAGCTGAGTGTCTTCCATGTCCTTCAGGTTTAATAACGAATGATCCCGGAGCTGATAATATTAACCATTGTATAGGTAGGTTCATTAAACTTGATAGAAACTTCTTTTTAATCCATCATGATAATTGAGCTGAATTGCAGAATGGGCCCTTTTCAACAGATTTGTATTCAGAGATATTGATAATGATAATATATTGAACAAAGTTTGCGGTTACACCACAAATTCTTTTGACAGGGTTAGTTGGCCTTGAAATGGGCCTCTCCTGCTCGATGTTTCGATATAGGTTGTACATATCTTCTTTGATGTCAATGGAGCCTTACCAAACAAGCCAAGTACATCAACCCCCTGGCCTTCTTTTAAAGGTGCCGGGAATTGGGTGTAATACCTGTCTGGTCAAGAGTAGCCCACCATATTCTTAGAAATGCTACATAGCTCCTTATCAGGGTAAGGGTCAGAGACATCCACAGCCAGCTTCATCAGCTCCAGGAAGAGATCAAAACTCAGCTGTCAAGTTGACTCTCTCAAAAGAAGACTGGAAAAAGGTTGAGAGTTTTAATAGAAGATCCTTTGAATTTGCCTTTGAGAAGGCAAATAGGGAAATTCAATAAACTGCTCGCTTCAACTCCGTCTGACCGCAGATCTTTCCAACTTCTGACTCCTAGCAAAACTGTAATCAACCTGAGCAAGCTCCCTCAAACTCAGCAGGAACAAGAAGATTTATCTTTTGAATTAAACTTTGCAGTAGCCCCCCCCCCCCCACACACACAATTTGATAAAAAAAAGACATCATCCAACGAATTGAACCAGGGCTCAAACACCTGAACCAACCTAGGGCTGGCTCCATCTGCCTACAGATCATCCAGGGTCTGGCCTTGGCTAAGCTGCCCAGGCCTTAGTTCCCAGTCACACATAGAGGACGCACGGCCCGTACATTGAAAATAAGAAAAAACAAGGTCACTGCATCGTTGTCAGGATTTGGGAGAAGCTAGCGAGCTGACACCAAATGCAAAGCCTGTTGCTAGCGCACTGGGCATATATACAGGGCCCATACAGAGCAGATACAGAGCTCAAATGTTTAAAAAAATCCCACAAATGCACAGCGTATTGCAACTGAGTTCTTCAAGATGTCACCCAAGAGAATTAACCCGACATCCCTGAACCCCACTGCGTTACGTACACGCCAGGTATATGCTAGGGACATACAAGAAGAACTTTTGCTGCGCTAGAGACTCGTTTAACATGATCATATTTGCTGCATGTTCGCTGGACATGCGTTTGAAATGCGCTAGGTAAGCGCTAGGTGTCCATTAGGCGTTGGCTAGACGTTGGCCGCCGAACTCACAACGAAGACAGAGCGTGTGCTCCCCGCATGTCTGCCGTTAGTCTAGCGCACTCCTTTTGGTGTTTACATTCATGCGTTGAGCTCTGCGCCAATTTTTTAGCATGCTCAAAACATCCAGACGCCCACAACTAAATGCTGTCAAATGCATAGCGTTGGTCCGAACGAACGAGTAATGAATGATGACCCACACCTGGTGAACGACAACGCACTGGCCAAAACTTATCAATGCGTGGGCAGTGCGTCGTCCCCCGTGCGTCTCCTATGTGTGTACATCCCCATAACATCAGCAAGGTGGAACGTTCAGCCATTACAAGTTTGCGCAGAGACAATACCATCCACATTTTCATAGCAGACAAAGGAAATGCCACAATGGTGATGTACCCTGGGATTGAGAGTCAATTGAATAAACCAGTCTGCCACTCCACTATAACACGACACAAATCTTTCAAATTTGAATGTATTACCATGTGTTGATAACTTGTTATCGTTCTCATTCCATATAGAACCATGTCCACTTGGTCATTACCAAGATGTTTGGTCAGATCCTAGTAACACTACATGTGTTCAGTGCCCTCTCGATTCTTACCAAAACGAAATCGGAAAAGAAAGCTGTTTCCCTTGCCCCACTGGATATGTAACTCTGGAACTAGGAGCAGCAAGTGCCTCTGATTGTGTTGGTAAGTCTCACTTTCTCTCCCCCTCCCTCTCACTTCAACTTCCAATTCCATTTGCTTTGGTTGTTGCTCTTAATAGTGTCATTTTATAGCCTGTTCTCATTAACATCCTCCCCTGTTCTTAGACGTATACTTTTTCATCATTTTATATAATTACCAAGGTATGTGTGATAGAAAATTACGAAAACTATGGATAATTTTATTTTATTTCTGACAATATTAAGCTGTGAGATCTTGTGAGGTTGTTAGTTGTTTCTGGGTAATTTTATAAAATTATTATTATATTTTACATCGAACCAAAATTAGGTCTCTACATTTTTCATTACTTTCCTATACAATTATTGTTTCCTAAGTTATCTATTCACCAAGGCTTAGTGTAACAAAGTGTTATTGGTTATTTTCCAGAAGTAATCATGAAGAAAAATCACACAATTTTCCAAGAACAAATCTTTAAAAATGTATGCTTTTTGCTAATTTCTTGGTAGGTTAATCTACTCGAAGCATTATTACCAATTCAAGGTTCAAACTTTGTACAGAGCATGCAAAATCTATCATCACATATATATTGTCAAACATATGAATTTTTCAATTGGCTTTTTATTCTTAATGTGCAAAATGTGATCAATTAGAGATTACAATTATGATCATATGTGACAATAATTATGATAAATGGTTGACACTTAACAAATATGCAAATGATTGATAATTGAGTGAAATTGTCCGTTGTATGCTTAAGTTCTGACTATATAATTATAAAATATTGAAAATGTATTGCTGTCAAATGCTCAGAGAGGTAAATATATGTAGGCTTATATTGTAATTTTGTTTTTTTAGCGGTGTGTAATGCAGGGCATTACGTGGATCTTTCAAACGAGACCAATCCACAATGCCCACCGTGTTCACTCAACACATTCTTAGATCTTGATATGCACCAAGAACAAGAATGTATTCCATGTGCTCCAGGAATGATTACCATTCAGAATGGATCTTCACAAAGTACCGACTGTTTTGGTAAGGGAAAAAGAAAGAGAATCTATTCATGAAAATCCTCATAAATATCATTCTTATAAAATCATGGGGTGCTAAGATTCAGAATTACTATAATCATTTTGGTGAAAGGATATTGCAATTGCAAACTATGAGTGATGCTCAGCCAAACTTAAATTAAATTGTGTGTGAAAATATATTTTAACTGAATTAACTAAACACTTTCATAGCTCGAATCCATAACAAAACACAGACATTGTGGCAGATAACCCTCATGCCAGTACAGTCTACTACTTCTACTACTACTACTATTAACATTACTACTATAAGTATACTACTACTACTCTACTACTGCTGCTGCTACTACTGAAACAACAACTACATGTTTATGATGCTCATGTTTCTACAGTTTACATGAATTTCCCAATGTTTTCGGTTATGTAGTTGTGTGCCAGCAAGGGACCTATCTGGAAAGTTCATTGTGTATTCCATGTCCTCTAAACACCTATCAAGACCAGACCAATCATCGTGAGGAATCCTGCATCCTATGTCCTGGCAACCTGATTACTTTCAATGAAAGTTCAGATAATCTTGCAGACTGTACAGGTATAAAAACAGACAGACCCATCATTCAATTCCCATTGAAAATACAGCAGTGGCCTCATATGAGGATGTAGGATAGCTATAGAAACTTTATGAGCATAAATAGTTCTCTCTTGCCACATGAACCTGGCAACCTGGTTACTTTTGATGAACGTTCAGACAATCTTGCAGACTGAACAGGTATAAAGAGAGACAGACCCATCGTTCCATTCCTATTGAAAATACTGTAGTGGCCTAATATGAGGATGTGGGATAGCCTACTAATAGATACTTTATGAGAATACATAGTTCCCTCTTGCCACAGGAATTGTTAATGCTATAAACTTTACATCGAGTATTGCAAATTTCCAATTACCCGGTACTTATCTGATTTTTTTTTTGTCCATGGTTTCATTCAGGAGATCAAGAAATATTTTCCAGTGTAAACTAATAAAGTCTCTAGAAATATATTCACCCCTTTGCAAAATACTACTGACAGAGGGGCTAAAACAGAGAAATATTTAACACTTATAAGGCCGCGATTTTTCTAATTGTTCGCGGCCTTTTTTTCTTTCGAGTATTGCGCATCTTTTTAAAGATTTTTATGAAAATCAGACCTATAGTTACAAGGTCACGTGACCTTTTGTCTTTGCATGTCAGCCCGAAAATCGCTCATTTTCATGATTTGTCCACAAAACATATGGAAAGGTCATTTTTCCTAAAAATAGATCAAACATTGGTTAATGGGTCTTGTTTAAAGTTAAGGTGGTTGTTTTGGGAGTCAAAATAGTTGAATTGTAGTTAGAAATGAAATAAAACAACAAAAAAGTTAAAAAACAGTGAAATACATAAGGAATTATTAAAACAAGAAATAACATAAGGAATAAGCTGGCTTTTCCACATTTGTTGTATTATTATTCCAAATGGTCTAATGAATATATGTAGTGAAAAAGAATGCTTAAATATGAATAATATATGAGTAAAATGTGATTTTTATGACTGTATTTGCATAAATTACCATAAATATGCAAATGAGTGCATTTTTCAAAAAAATTGAAATTATCATAGTATTCTATACACTTCATTTTCGCAGAAATTGGCCATTTCAGGGCCGTACTAAGACCTCAAATAGCCCGGCCTTTTTAGGGTTAAGTTATGATTTTACCGTGGTATTAACCCTTCTGCGATTTTCTTGCATTGTGAACATAATGCACTCTTAGTTTCTTTGAAACATGTAAAATGCAAATCTGATGGTCTTTTCAAGAAGCGACTAGATTTATCGCATTTGTAGTTTATTATGCCTCCAGAATGAAGTAGCCGGAGGCATTGTGTTGTAGGTCTTACGTCAGTTAATAGTCCGTACGTCTGTACGTCCCGTTCTTGTGATCGCGTTATCTCAAGAACCGATTGGATTCCCGCTAAACTGTCATGTATGTATCTTGCAGAGCCAATGAACTGATTAGATTTTGGGGTCACAAGGTAAAATGTCAAGGGTCACAGGGCTCACTATGAATGCAAAAATAGCTTGTGAACGCATTATCATTTGAACCGACAGATTGATTACTATCAAACTGAGGACATGTATGTATCTTACAGAGCCAATGAACTGATTAGATTTTGGGGTCATGAGGTCAAAGATCAAATGTATATGAACAATATTTTGTAATCTCGATATTCTGAGAAACTGTTAATGGATTACAATCAAACTTGAATTAAAAAAATTGCTTCTGTTTTGGTTTCTAAAATTGCTCTATGGCGGAGGCATCATTTAAACTGCGCGCAGTCGAAGATCTATCTAGTTTACAATCTTTTTTCTGATCAAAGTGTCGCAAATGATAAGGTAACTTCTCATATATCTGTTGAAAATAGAAGAACTTGATGGAATGTTGGAACAACTTCATAGTACTTCAGAAATATCAAATGTTACCTGGCAATAAAATAGCATCTCCCAAATGTTTTATTGGATACATTTTTAAAAGATGTAAAATTCAAATAGGAATTGTAATTCTAAAATTTTGCTAAATCAAATATAAAAAAGTGAACACTAACAGTTTGAAATCTTTGGTGTATAGCATATAGTTGCAATGTTTCTGATAGAATAATAGATGGTACACTATTACTTCTTTCCAAATATGAGCCTGTAAGTACGCAGGGAAAGTCCAAGGTATTTTGTCACATACGTTATCAACATCATCTGTAGTATCGGTAAACCCAACACATTTCTAATAGAAAACTGTTTAGACATGCGATTAGACCAAATAACAAGGAAAATGTAAGTTGCGACATGGTTTTGAGGTCGTTTTTTTGTTATAGCTGATTTTTTTATTTCGTTCTAACCCTATTTCTCATTGTTTGCTTTTAGTTGCTCCTGGCATGGAATGCAATGCTCTACTTGATCCTTGTACAGGAGGTGGGATGTGTATGAATGCTACTGGCCTCATTACCTGTACCTGCCCAAGAGGGTTCAACAAGTACAATGATACCCATTGCCAAGGTAAGCAAGACATCATGCATCTTCAGTTTGATCTTTCATTCTCTCTCTCTATATCCTGACTTATGGATCCTGCTGAGTATCGTCGTAGAAGTAGAAGTATATACATTCAATTCAATTCATTTATTCACTCAATTTAAAAACGGATACCGGTACACGAAATTGTGTATGAACTCATGTATGACAAATATAAAAAGATAGGCATAGTAAAATCATGAGTTGAAAGCACAAGTAACATAAATTGAGTGGGGATCAGATTAAAGATCTATAATAAAGATATTATGAATTCGACCCCATATTGTGATGTATAAATTGCATTGAATATTGTTTCATGAACAACAAGAGGGAGAAACAAGAGAGAAAGACAGAGACAGACAGAGAGGGAGAGAAAGATAAGATGAGAAATAAAGTCAATACATAGATGGAAATTAGACCCAAGCATGTTTAATATATAAGAGATACAAGTATTAGTTCGCAATGCATCCAAATCTATACACGTTTGCCCAGTGACAAGCCATCACATCGACCTGCTACAACAAACGGCACCCGATAGCCAGAACGCAAAACGCACACATTGCCCAGACCTGCCAACCTCTGGAGTTCAAAAACTGTATTCTTTAATCCCAAAAGTTGTATTCTTAAAAATAAACATGGACTGTTACGCAAATCAATGCCTCTTATAGTTCCTATTGCTGATGTGAGATGCTTGTAGGATACTTTACAGGACAGAATGGGAATTTTGCCCTTGAAAATGGCACACACACAATTTTTTTTTTTAATAATTTTTTTAATCGTATTTTATTGGGGAAAATCGTACTGTCGTATTCGATTCTAAAAATCGTACAAAAACGACTAAATCTTACTGGTTGGCAGGTCTGATTGCCCCCTGCTAGGTCGAACAAACCTTATGGCTTGCCCAACCCAACAACAAGCAATGCATGCATGCGCACTCCGACCACCGAAACCCCATCCACTGCAACAGGCAAATGCAATAGCCTGTCACTATATAGGTACGCTCAAAAAAGGAAGACAGGGCTAGATTTGCGCTTTGTTGTATAAACCAAAAGATATGCCAGTTGAGTAACCTGAAAGCAGAATAAAAAAATCATCCTCATAGTATACATGTCTAAAACACACAAAATGTACTGCAATAAATCAGCATGCATTTATCCTGTAATGTATAATACAAACCCTTAAATTGCAATCCTTTAGAATTCTCAACTCTATATCCAAAAGGCCTAAACCCCCATTAATCTCTATGTCAAATTAACATATCTTGACAGAAATACTGCTCTCGTAAAAAAAAACAGTAACCAAAGTCCTCAGCCTAGATAAATTCCTAGTCAAGACTACCTTTAAAGTGACTCGGTAACATTGTTGAAGGTTGATGACAAAAATTGCTTAATTTTTGTATAAAATGTTACTTACTACATTCCTTCTACTATATAACCCTCTGACATGCAAAAAATCCTGAACAAATTCTCAAACCACAAAGATATCAAGAAAATTGAATCTTTCACCATTTCATTAAACGGCAATTTGATCAAAAGAGTTCAATTCACCAAATGCTTAGGACTTTTGATAGATGAAGAATTGAAATGGTCTAAACAAATCGAAAACGTAAGTAAACTTACCCAGAAAAACATTAGCATGATAAAGAGAGCAAAGAGTTTTTTGCCTCAAAAATCCTTAAAGTTACTTTATAACAGTCTAGTGTTGCCACGATTAGATTACTGCTCTGTTGTATGGTCGAACCGATTTCATTCTCATACAACTAAGCTGCAAAAAATTCAAAAGAGGGCCGCAAGAATAATATTGAACAAGACATATGACACACCGTCGGCTGATTTGTTCGCAAGTCTTAAATGGATGACACTAGACAAGCGGTTTGAGTTAAGTCGCGTTATGATGATATATAAATGCGTTCATAACTTAGCACCCTCTTACCTTCAGGTAGGCTTAATCAATCCTAATGATGTACATGAGCATCATACAAGGCAAATAGACAGTGGATGTTTACGTGTGCCTAGATTTCACACTGATTGTTATAAGTGTAGCCCAATTGTTTCTTCCATATTTGAATGGAATAAGCTAGATAATTCGTTGAGAACGGCTTCCTCTGTCAATTCATTTAAGAGATTGTTTAAACAAAGTTGTAATTTGTGAATGGCTCAGCCGTACATACACTACGTGCATGTTCTGTAATATTTACATGTCTTATTCACATAATTGCGACTTAATTAATATTTTCCTATTGACATTACTGCTTACTAGGTTAATGATATATGTTAATTTTGCAAACGAGTATTATTGTTGTAACTGTTCTGTATAAATGTTATAAACGATGTAAATATGTTCATTCAGGGCCCCATGGAAGACCACTACTTGCTGGTGAATGGGCTACCCTGTCAAAAGATCAGAAATAAATAAATAAATAAAATAAATAAATATCTATGGTTTTCTTTGAAGGCGAGGATGTGAGGCACCCTCTAACAGTGATTAACAGTAAATTCTCCCAACCATTTTTGAATTTTCCCAACCGTTTTTCCATGACAAAAATACATAAAACAGGCTATAAAAATCTGTCAACACTTAACTGTCTGGAATGGAATGTAGAGCCATTTTATTGCTTTGTGACGATTTAGGGTGCGTTTAATCGACACTTTTTCACCCTAGAATCACGGTTTCTAAAGACGTTTAGTTTAAAACGCAATGCGTTCAAGCGATTTTTTCGTCGGTCGTAAAAATAAACGTGTTTGAAAACACAAACATGAAACGCTGAAAAAGATGCGTTTTGTATCATGATTCAAAAGAATCACGGTCGCTAAAATTCGATTGAACGGACGGAGTTCTCAATCATGATTGTATGACGAAGCCTCTTCCGGTTTGGGAAAAACCGCGCGCGCCCGCTTTGCATGCAATTTGCGTTCACTATACCATCGTGGCCTGTTCCGTTATGTTATTCCTTGTTTTTCCTTCTATCATTTTCTCTTTCTGTCTTTCCTTCTATCATTTTCTCTTTCTGTCTTTCCTTATGTTATTCTTTGTTTCTTCCTTCTATTCTTATGTTATTCTTTGTTTTTTTTCCTTCTATCACCTTTTCTTATGTTATTCTTTGTTTTTATCATTCTATCATTTGCTCTTTCTGTCTTTCCTTATGTTATTCTTTGTTTCTTCCTTCTATACTTATGTTATTCTTTGTTTTTTTCTTCTATCACCTTTTCTTATGTAATTCTTTGTTTTAAGCATTCTATCAATTTCTCTTTCTGTCTTTCCTTATGTTATCTTTGTTTCTTCCTTCTATCATCTTGTCTTATGTTATTCTTTGTTTTTATAATTCTATCACTTTCTCTTATGTTATTCTTTGTTTTAATCATTCTGTTACTTTCTCTTTCTATCTTTCCTTATGTTATTCTTTGATTCTTCCTTCTTTCACCTTCTCTTATGTTATTCTTTGTTTTAATCATTCTATCACTTTCTCTTTCTGTTCTTCCTTATGTCATTCTTTGTTCCTTCCTTTTTTCACATTCTCTTTCTGTCTTTCTTTATGTTATTCTTTGTTTCTTCCTTCTATTTTTATGTTATTCTTTATTTTTTCCTTCTATTACCTTTTCTTTTGTTATTCTTTGCTTCTTCCTTCTATTCTTATGTTATGCTTTGTTTTTTCCTTCTATCACCTTTTATGAAATTCTTTGTTTTAAGCATTCTATCACTCTCTCTTTCTGTCTTTCCTTATGTTATTCTTCGATTCTTCCTTCTTTCACCTTCTCTTATGTTATTCTTTGTTTTAATCATTCTATCGACTTTATCTTTCTGTCTTTCCTTATGTTATTCTTTGTTTCTTCCTTCTATCACCTTCTCATTCTTTGTCTTATTATTGCAATCTATGCTCAAAACAGCAGTCGACAGTCGGCCGTAAACAATTCCAGAAAGCGCGCGCCGAAGTTCCTAGGCCAATCTGCGCAGTGTGATGGGCAGTGGTTTGGCTCGCAATGAGCTAGAATCAGCGTTGATGAAAAATCGCTTGAACGCAAACCGCAGTGACCTTGCTTTTTGTAACGGCGTTTTGAATTGTGATTCATGTTTGTGATTCTAGCTTCGAAAATTTGATTGAACGCACCCTTACATTCACCTAAAATGTAATTAAATTGTCCTTGTCTTGATGCTGAACAGGCTTTGACAAGTACCAGAATAGAAGTTGAATAATATAGTTGGGAGAATTAAGGAATCGATCAGATAAGTTTTTCCCAATTTGTACCATGAATAATGATCCGATTTCACTCAAATTTTCAGATTATCTTTAATTGTACATCTAGCATTGAAGTCACTACCTTAGCACCACTATCTCTCATCTGAACAATGCTCAATAAATAAATCCCATCTTACCCAAAGTATGTAAAACTTGTCTTTCTTATTTAGACTCATTGGGTGGTATTCTCATAAGTTAAGCCAGGACTAAGTCCAGACTAAACAAGAATTTTAGTTCACACTTCTATGGAATGCTAGGTTTCATCTTCCTCCTTCAATATTCATGACAAAGATAATCTACCAAAGACTTTGTTGAAATTCAGTTCATACTCATATTATCTTTTTCTTCCAATTTCATTGCAAAATTAATTTTTTGGACACTTTTCATTGAAGGTTTAAAATAATTTGTACAGGGTAAATGAGTTGGCAACTGGCACTCCATAAAAGTGTGGACTAACTTAGTACGCGCTAACTTAGTACGTGCTACCGGAATACCACCCATTGAACTTTCATCATAAATTCCAAAAACCTGACTGTATTTCAGTCTTTTTCTTTCTTAACTCTTATTTATCCGACACTTATTTCATATGTCAACACCAACATTTGTCAACTAAAATAACCTTAAATCAATCTCTGACTAATATCATTATTCTGATTAATGTCATTATTACTCTGTGTTTTCAAAAACACAAAATCCCTCTTTATAAATGTGTGAATTTAACACCAACTAAATACGGCACATACTTTCAATGTAA